GTGGTATTTTAGTTAGCGTATGAGACTTACAAGAGGAATTCTAATTTCAAAACAAATTGTAATCAGTTTCTCAGTTTCAAAGATTTAAAGATATGTATCCATAGCAAGAACAACTTTTAAACTGCCTAATGGCAGGCTCTTGTTTTCCATTTATTTATTGTGTTTTAACCAACTTAATCCCAAGAAAGGCCGAAAAGAAAAAAATGCTGGGGAGCTATTGAAAGTAATGGTCTCGCCTTAACCCATCACCTCTCACCTGTCACACAATCTCTACCTTCTGAAAAGAAATCCCCCGGTTAGTGTAACTTCCAGTTGAAAACAAAGAAAATAAAATGTTTTCACTAAAAGACTGTCCATCATGCTCTCAGTTATTTGCTTTCTTTGGGGGGACTTAAATATGACATCTCAGAGACCCAGAGCAAGAAAAAGCTGAAGGAAGAGTCAGCTGACAGTATCACCAGGATTGGTAGAGAATCTTTGTGTGGGGGTGTGTGTAAAGGCAAAATAACCCACCCAATCAAACCCTGCCCCCAGAAACTTTTACATATATATATCTATGCACTCCGAAAAATCTCTAAGCACATGTGTGCAGAAACGTAGCTCTACACAAGCTCAGCTAGCTATCCACACACATGTATTCACTTCTGGAGTAAAGGCATTTCATTGCTCCCATAGTTTCGTTCCATTAAGAGCGATTAGATGATGTCTATTCAAAGTTGCTGATCCAGAGAGAAAATAAGAGTAGATAAAAGGAGATTTCAAGTGACCTCCTCATCCCTTTCACACCAACCTGAGCCCTAGAATAGCCAAGGATCAACTAACACAAAAGCCCTTTCCTTTTTCTTTTCAGCTTCAGAAGATTTCCTGCAAAGGGTTAACAATAAAACAGAACTATTCTCAAGTTTTGTTAGATCATGCCTTTCGAATACTTTATTAACTCCTCCCATAGTTAGGCTAGGTTTATTATTCGCCTCCAAAACAGGTAAATAAAATAGACATAGCATAAGAGAGGGCATAATTATTTACTGCTCCATGTGGTTTATATCAGTGGTGTACTGTGCTCATTCTTTTTCATTTAAACTTTACCTAACCCCCTTCTCACTGCCGATGGAGGACACTGTAATAAACATATCTTTCCACTGACAGTTTAGAAGGAAATGTTAGCTTTATTATTTAGATCAACTTTCTGATAGGTAAATACTACTATTGTAAAATGACCACAGTTACCAACAGATCAGGTGGCTTTGTAAGTCAATACTTTTTCACCAGTTTATCTTATAGATAGTTTTAAAAGTGACATTAAAGAATTAAACATATTTGAGCAATCTTTAATCCGTTAATGTCCAACTCAGATCTACTCTCATGGGCTAATCCTGCAGTAAAAGAAATAGGTGCTCTAACAGGTAACTATTAAGAGAAATTATTATATGGTGTGGTGGATTGTATTGTCAGGGAACTTTAACAAGCTTCAAAATCATTTCAAAATTCCAACTCTTCATCCAAATTCAGCCCATTTCCCCCAGGAAAAAGAACCATGCAGTTATTCTTCACTCTAGTCCAGCATTTAAAATAAGGAAATACACTCTGTAGCATAAAAGTCTCCAGTTCTTTCCTTCTTTTGCATAAATGCATTTAGATAGCGAAGGCTTGATTTTTACAAAAAGTAAATATTTGGCCTTGGCTTCTCTAGTGTGCTAGGAATGATTGTCACTTTTCCTCCGATAAAAGGCTCGATTTGCATCCAAAGGTCAGCACTAGCTCTCCTGCCATCCTCCCGTGGCTACTCCTGGCCCTCTTAACTGGAGGTCCAAGCAGAAAGGGGGACTGCTTCCCTTATCTCTCTTTCCAAAACACGTGCTTTAACTGGCTGGCTTGTGATAGAAATGTAAACCGTTTAATAAGGTAAAACGGGGTTTTTTTTCTTTGTCACCAAAGGTGACAAAGAAAAACTGCCCAGGCTACCAGAGTGATGGTGAATATGCAAGCCTACTGATCTGTGGTTCAACTACCTGGGCAGGCTCAGAGCAGGCGGTCCAGCAGAAGCCCAGCTCCCACTTTGGCCTTTCCATCCTTGTTTTCACTTTAACAAAGGCAGAACTTTCTACGGCTGGGCAGCCACAATACATACTGAGTTCAGTCTTGTAGGGGGGGCGAATTTTTGATATAGGCAGGGGCGTTTGTTTCGGCTTGCATTTTGACTTATTAATAATCACGAAACACTGGGCAGGCATTACTGTGCCTCTCTCCACCCTCTTCTTCAAAGTATCATTTTGAAGACCATTTTAAACATATCTTCTTTAACTGTTTTCTGCCCGGCCTTAATCTCATGCCAAGGGAGACTAATTGATTCAGCACCTTTAAAACAAGATCTTTGGGAAAGGTCTGCAGTAAGAGCAGAAGAACTGACCTTTCTCCCAATGATTGCAGGCATGTTCATCTCTCCAGATGAGCGTGATAACACACGGTTATTTCTGCTTTCTGGTCTCTCTAAACAGAAAAATACCACTTTTAACAATTTAGGGGTAGGGAAGAGGTACAGGAGATGACTGTCTACACATACTTGGTCATTTGTAGCATCTCATCACCCTTGATCTAGATGTAGAAAACATTTTCGCAAGGCCACCACCTTTGTTTACTGTGATTTACCAAAAAGCCAAGAGAAATGATCTGGTGAGTTTTGGAAGAGCAAAATACCAATATCAAAAAGGTCAGGATTAATGAAGAATGCTTTGGGCCTTCCTGGAAAGAAAGATTTGGGGTAAGGGGGTGTTGATCCACCAGAAAGTCTGCTTGGATCCGGACTCTGGCTCCAAGAATGCAAGTCAGTGCAGTACATGCAGCCACCAATCTTTGCTTCTCTCCTTCTCCCAGCAGGTCCTAAGTGTTTGCCGGCTATCCAGCTAGGAGAGATCAAGTGTTGTGTGGAAGAACTTTTTAAAAAGTGATGAAGGCTGAGCCATGATGCCAGCAAACCACAAGGGAAGTTTTAAGCTTTACAAGCAGAGGGGTAACTTCTCACCATCTCTTAGGGGAACCACACTGGAGACTGTGTGCCCTGAATGGGCCTATGGAGACTAGACAGTTAGAGGAAGCCTTCAGAAAGGAAGCTGGGGAGTCCAGACCCTGGTGAGCCTTTTCCCATCCCTGGATGGGCCTCACCAGTAGGGAGGCACCTTGGAGAGGACCCAGTATATAAGCCACTAGTGACCTGGCAGTCTCAAGAAGGGTACTGAGGCAAGCGCCAGAGCAGGTCTAGGTCCAAGAGCCACATCCACGAGCATAGACTTAAAGGCAATGGACATGAAGGGCTTGAGTGAGAAAGGAGGGAAAGAGAGCTCAAGAAGGGGAGTGAGAGAAGGGTGGATATTGCAACTGTGTTTTCCTTCCCTGCAGCTGCGTGTGCCTGGACACTTGGGTGGGGTTTCAGTTTGGGGACCTATATGCTCCCAGAAAATCTGATCATTTTTCTGTTCTACCCAACAACAACAGATAACTTATGTCCTGGTTGAGCGTGGGGTGCCTAAGGCCCCAGGACCAGTGTGCCAGGTTGAACCGGTAACAAAGGACAGCCTCAAAGGGAGAAAGCAGAGCTGCCCAGGACCTGAGCTGACCCCCAGGGGCTCGGTGGAGGCCATTTTGCTAGGACTGGGGCTGGGAGCACAAGTGGAGGCACGCCAGAGTGCGCCCGCGCGGTAGGGAACACAAGGGTCCTAAGAAGAAGACAGCCCCGAGGTCCGCTGGGGCGGGACAAGTCCCAGAGGAGGCCAGCACCTTTCCTCGAACGAAACACCTGGGTTTCTTCCTGCCTGCCCCCTCTTGAGACAGAAATGTAGCACGCAGAGCCGGCAGGAGGGCGATCTGTCCCCCGCTCCCCAAAAGCAGAGAGTTGTGCCAGCCACTGGGCACCACCACCACCAAGAGCCCCCACCTCCTGGGCCAGGGCCGGGCACTGCGCCCCTCCTTTCCCTCCTGCAGAGGAGCGGGTGGCCTCGCCCGAAGCCTCAGGGCCCCCAGTCGTCCCCATCCCCCGGAGCCTCTTTCAAATTTGGAAGCTCGGGGTGGGGGTCGGCACACAGAGCCCACAGCGGGGGAGAATAGGATCCGCCGCTCCCGGGGAGTCTCGGCCCGACCCAGGGCGACCTCGCGGGGCGGGGCGGGCCGGGTCTGCAGCGTCTGCAGCCCTGCACCCTGCAGCCCCTGCAGCCCCTGCAGCCCCAGGGCGCGGCCCCCGGCGTCCGCTCCCCCCGCCCCCTGCGCCAGCCCTGCGCGCCCTCTGACGCAAACGCGCGCCCCTGCCCAGCGCCGGGAGAGCGCTCGCGTAGGTTCCAATCGAGGCTCTCGGTTCCCCGCACACCCCCTCGGTCCCCACCCCGGGGGCTGACCCCTCCCCGCCCCAGCGCTCGCGCGGCGGCGCGGGGAGCCGGGCTGGGCGGCGGGGCGCCGCGGGTGCTCCGCCGGGGGGAGCGGCTCGGGGTCCCCCTTGAATCCTGGCGCTGGCGCCCGCATCACAGGGGCAGCCATCGCTCGCGTTACGCTAGGGGATCCCGCTCCACGCGGCGCCCGCAGGTGGGCGGCGGGGCGCGGGCCGCAGGGCCAGCCCGGCCAGGACTCGGCCCCGGGGTCCCCCGCCGCCCCCCGCCCCCCGCCCCCGCCGCGGGGCTGGAGGCCCGGCCGCGGGGGGCGGGGGCAGGGGCGCGGGGATGGGGGTGGGGAGACCCGTTTTGAATCCGGGCTGCCGCCGGCCGGCGCGGCCCCCGGCTCCGGGAGGGCGAGGGCGAGGGCGCGGCGGCCGCGGTCGCTGCCTGCAGCCGGGCGCCACGGAGGCCGGGGAGGCCGGGGAGGCCGGGGGCCGGCGGCGAGCAGGCCCCGCGGGAAGTTCCCCTCGTCCCGCCCGGCCCGCCCGCACTGCGGCCCCGGCCTGCGAGGCCCCGCGCGCCCGCCTCCCGACCTGTGCGCGTGGCCGGCCCCGGGCTCAAAAGAAACGAGAACCACTGCGTTACTTGCCTGGGTGGGAAGGACTCGGCCCGGCGTGGCTTCGGCTGCCCAGGGCGCACGGTGCGGGGTCCGAGGGCGTCCGGGGGGCCTCGGGTTCCCGGGCGCTCGCCTCCGCCTCCTCTTCCTCCGGCTCCGTCCCTCTCCACGGCCTCTCTCCTCTCCCGGGCTCCCTCTCCTCTGCTGCTTCCTCTGCCCTCGACTGCCTGCCTCTGTACTACACGGGGAGTAAAATTCAGAATTTATATATAGAAAGCTTGTTCTCCTTTTTTCTTTCTCTTTTTAATCTTTTCTTCTCTTTCTTTATCTCTCCCTCCTTGTTTTTTTTTTTTTTTTTGGTCTTTTAATCGTGTTCGTTCCCCACCCCCCCCACCCCCTTTTAATTGACCAGGAGACGTGAGAGCGTCCATCGGGGAGAGGGCCGAGGGCAGGGAGCCCCGGCCGCCCGGCCGCCCCGGCCGCCTCCCCTCCGCCGGCCGCGTACAATGGGCCGCCGCTTGCAGAGTGCACGGACTGTCTCTCCATTATTCGAGCTGGAGGGGCTGTGGGGCAGGCACGGAAAAGGCTTTATTCTGCTCGTTAAGACCGTCGCTAGTCGCTAAGCGGCCGCGGACTCCCGACTTGCAGGCTGGAGAGACCGGAGAGCGCAAAACGCACCCCAAACACGCAGGGCTTCCCCGACCCCTCCCTGGTGAAATTTAAAGTGAGAACGAGTATCAAAAAGCAAGCCCTACCTCTGCCAATACAGCGTGGCCATTACTCCCACCTTTACCTGAGGGCGTGTTGAGGATCGGGATGCTGGAGCTGAGACAAACTTTTACGCTCTCCCGAGTCGAGGGGCGGGCGAGCGCGGCTCCCACCCCCAGCGGCGGCCGCGGCGGCTTTGTCACTCCGCGCAGCTCCGCGCCCGCCTGAGCCTGCCTAGGGAGCGATCTCAGAACGAGGGGGGTGCCAGTGTGCTATTGGAGAATATGTAACTAATAGAAGTATCATTTTCCCCAGTACGATCTTTCAAGGAAAAAAAAATCCATTGAAAGAATTTTCAAAGTGCTGTCTCCGTTTGGAGAAAAGGCGCAGGCTGCCTGCGGGGAGGGGAGGAGAGAGCCGGCTGTGCGCCTCCCGGGCGCGGCTCCCGTCCGCTAGGTGGCAGCCGGAGCCAGCGATTCCTGCAGGCCCCGCGGCGGGACCGCTCCTCCTGCCCGCCCCTCCTCCCACGACCAATCGCCTTCGGGAACCGGGGTGTCTCTCTCTCTCTCTTCTCTCTCTCTCTCTCTCTCTCTCTCTCTCTCTCTCTCTCTCTCTCCCTCTCCCCCTCTCTCCCCCTCCCCCCCTCCCCCCCTCCCCCCTCCCTCCTCCCTCTTCCTCTCTCCCCCTCTCCTCCTCCCTCTTCCTCTCCTTCTCTCTCCCTTTCCCTCTCTCCCCTTCCCTCCCTCCCCCTCTCCCTCCTTCCCTCTCTCTCAATCTCTCCTTCTCTCTCTCTCTCTCCCTGCCTCTGTCCCTCCCGCTCCCCCGTCCTCCTCCCTCTCCCCCATCTTCCTCCCCCCCCCACTCCCCTTCCCCCACCTCTCCCCATCTCCCATTTTCCCTTGTCGGTCGCTCGCCCTTTCCCTCTTTTCCTGGGACTCCGACTTGACTGCTCTAATTGCACCCCCCAAGCCCCCGCATACGAGGACTTACTACTGTTTTATTAATAATTATTTAAGCGTTGTTTGAAGTTTGGAACAGCCTGAGAATACCAAAGAGGAAAAAAAGGAAGAAGGAAAAATCGGATTGAGTGTAAAGTTTATTTTTAAAATCATCATGGGATGAATAGGAGCCGTTGATTCAGATGGATTTTGTGGCAATAGCTGCGTATTCCAGGAGTGTGTTTTGTCAAAATTAAACCTTTAAAAACCAACGGGTACTTTGGGCCAAAAAAAAAAAAAAAAAAAGGAAGTCCCTACCTTGTTTCTTAAAAGGATATAAAATGAGCAGAATCCACACTTGGAATATGCTTAAGTGTGAACGAAGAAAACAATCCAAACCCAGTATATTTCGTGAATCATTAAGATGGTGAGAGTTTAATTCTCATTAAAAATTTTCCCAACATTTTCAAAGACACTCTCTTCACGCTCCTAAGACCTAATTTTAAAAACTTTTCGGAAGAAATCAAAATAATTTCCTTCTCATTCCCTTTTACCCATTGCAAGGCATCCTCCCCCTCGCCATCCCTTCCCCCTCTGGTGTGCGTGCGTGCGTGTGTGTGTGTGTGTGTGTGTGTGACCACAGACGACCCATACTAATCAGGTCTCAGAGTAAATAGCAGCGCAGGGCGATCTCAATGTAAATTGCGCTTGTCAGAAGCACACCCCCCTCCCTCACTTTCCCTCCTCCTCCCCTCACCATCCCCGTCAGTAGGTAGCTAAGAGGGAGGGGGAAAAAAAAAAGAAAGAAAGAAAAAGAGGAGGGGGGAGGGGCTATCCAACCAATGGCGTGCTGGAGGCTTGGCTAACCTTAGACTCCCATTTTCTCTCCCCCCCGATTCAGGGCTCTGACCAGTCAGTCGCCTTTGATTATCAGTTGCCAGCAGCCCTTCTCTTGGCTCCTTGACACGAGCTCCATATAAGGCAGCGATCTCCATAGAAACGTGTCAGTTTCAATAGTAGTGTCAAAGTTCACTATATACAGACATTCGCGCAGATCCCCCTTTCGGAAACATTGCTCTGCGAGTCCTCCCGTTTAAACGCATTCAATTTTGGGGTCTCTCTCTCTCTCTCCTCTCTCTCTCTCTCTCTCTCTCCTCTCTCTCTCTCCTCTCTCTCTTCTCTCTCTTCTCTCTCTCTCTTCTCCTCCTCCGCCTCTCTCTCAATCTCTCTCAATCTCTTTCTCTTTTCTCTTCCCTTCTCTCCTCTCTCCCTTTTCTTTTCTTACATATTCCATTAGTTGTTTCCCTCGTATTCTTCTTCTTCTTTCTCTTTTTCTCCCTCCTCCTTGCCTTTTACTCCATTCCTGCAGAAGAGAGAGGGCTAAACTTAAAAAAAAAAAAGGAGGAGGAGGAGGAGGCACCCCCTTCGTATTCTTCTTATCGTTATTTTATACATATATGATTTTTTTTGGAGGGAGGGTGTTGGTTCCCGGCTGAAGAGCACTTATTTAAAATACTAAAAAAAGAACATTTTTGGGCGATCTCCAGGGTTTTTTTAACTAGCTCTGTGTGTTATAGCAGAAGAAGCAGAAGAAGGAGCAAGAAAGAGGAAAAGAAGAGGATTATTTATTCGACCTACTTTGGATGTCTCTCGCTTTTTTTTTTTTTTTAAATTGCGATTCTTTTTCTTCTGATTTTTATTTTTTCGATTTCGCTGCGAATTCGTCGCCGGCGTGAATTATCTCGTATTTTTCTCCCTCTCCGTCACCTCCCGAAAGAAGAAGGCAGCGAGAGCCCGGCGCCACCGGCACAACAAAAAGAGCAAAGTGTGTGATCCTCGTCGCCGGCTGCCTCCCTCTCTCCGGCGCTGCCTTCCTGAATGGCTGGCTGCGTCCAGCCCTGGACCTGGCCCCCCGACACCAGCGCGCCCTGATCGCCGCCGGCAGCCTCGCCCCGCGCCCTGCTCGGCTCTCCGCGCTCCCCTCCATCCCGAGCCCCGCCAGGGCTCCCGCCGGGACAGCGGCGGCGGCGCGGGCGGCCCCGACCCGGGCTCGCGCTCCGGCTGCGGCCCCGACTCCAGCTCGGACTCCGGCCCGGGCCCCGGCTCCTCCAGCGGCGCTCGCCGCTGCAGCTGAGGCGGCGACTCCAGCGGCGCCTGCAGCCGCGACCTCCTCCTCCTCCTCCTCCTCCTCCTCCTCCTCCGCCGCCGCCGCCGCCGCCGCCGCCTCCGCCGCCGCCGCCTCCTCCTCCGCCGCCGCCGCCGCCGCCGCCGCCCTCGCCGGCTTCCTCTATGTCGGCTGAGCCGGCGCGCGGCGTGTAGCCCGAGCGGCCGGCGGGCGGGCGGGCGGGCGGGCGCCCGGCGCGGGTGAGCGAGTGTGTGTGCGAGTGTGTGTGTGTGCGCGGGGGTGCGGGCGAGGCGGAGGGCGAGTGTGTGCGCGCGCCGTGGCCCATGCCCGCCGCCCCCGGCGCTGCGCCCCGCGCCGCTCCCGGCTGCCGCCTGTGCCATTTCTGATTTTGCAACTTGGGGAAGAAGAAAAAAGCGAGAGAAGGGAGAGCCTGCTCGGCTGGGGGGGGGTGGGGAGGGGGGGAGAAGGAGAGCGCGGCCCCCCCAGGATCGGAGCGCGGGGGGAGCGGGCGAGGGGAGCAGGGGTGTTGGGGGGGGAGCCAGAGAGCCTGGGGGGGCTGCAAAAAGAGAGAAAGAAAACAGCAGGAACCACAACAAAACGCCAGCAGGGCGGGCGGGCGCGCAGCAGCAGCGGGGCGGCCGAGGCAGTAGCGGCGGCGGCGGCGGCGGCGGCGGCGGCGGAGGCAGCGGCCGGTGCCCGGCTCGGGCTCGGCTCCCGCGACCCCGGGGCGCCCGGCGGGCCCCCCGCCCCCTCCCCCTCCCCCCTTCCCCTTCCCCTTCCCCTCCCAGCGCGCCCGCGCGCCCCGCGGCCCTCGGCGAGCAGCTCGGCTCCCCCCAGCGCTCCCCGGGCCCAAAGATATGGCAATGGTAGTTAGCAGCTGGCGAGATCCGCAGGACGACGTGGCCGGGGGCAACCCCGGCGGCCCCAACCCCGCAGCGCAAGCGGCCCGCGGCGGCGGCGGCGGCGGCGGCGAGCAGCAGCAGCAGGCGGGCTCGGGCGCGCCGCACACGCCGCAGACCCCGGGCCAGCCCGGAGCGCCCGCCACCCCCGGCACGGCAGGGGACAAGGGCCAGGGCCCGCCCGGCTCGGGCCAGAGCCAGCAGCACATCGAGTGCGTGGTGTGCGGGGACAAGTCGAGCGGCAAGCACTACGGCCAATTCACCTGCGAGGGCTGCAAAAGTTTCTTCAAGAGGAGCGTCCGCAGGAACTTAACTTACACATGCCGTGCCAACAGGAACTGTCCCATCGACCAGCACCACCGCAACCAGTGCCAATACTGCCGCCTCAAGAAGTGCCTCAAAGTGGGCATGAGGCGGGAAGGTGAATATTTCTTCTCTGCTTCTTTCCCTGAGCTTCGCCCGCCTCCCCGGCCCTCTCTCTTTCTTTCTCTCGCGGGGGTGGCTGCTGTCTGGGGCTGGAGCTCCTGCGGTCCCGGCCCCGTCCCAGCCTCCCCTGTCCCCGCTGCCTTCCTCCCCCGGCGTCACCCCCCCTCCCCAACCGAGCTCGCTGCCGCTGCCTCCCCCTCCCGGCCTGCGCTCCTCTCCCTGGCTCCTCCACCCCTCCTGCTGCCTGCTCAGGATTGTGTCCCTGGGATCGTGAGCTGTGGCTTAAAATCCCTTTACTTCCTCTGTCTTGGATGTGCTCGGTGTGTGTCTCTTTCCCGCGTGTGCGTGAGGATGCTTGGGGGCTGTGCTGGCATGAACTCGGGGAGGGGGTGCTTATTTTCCCCCCCCCCCAGAAAACTCTTGTGTGTTGTTTTCATTCCACTTTCCCCTCCACCTCTTTCTTCATCATACCCTTTATTTAAAAACTGGGGAGGGCCGGGGACCGGAGGACCCTGAACCATGGATTCATTGCTGCATCATCCTTTTGGAAGCTTAGCTTGGAAAAAGAGGAGTGAGATTTATTGCACTTGTAGGTCTAATTAGGGGGGAAGGGGGGCTTCTGGCCTGTTCACTGGTTCCCTCTCCTCTTCACCGAGCTGGGGCCGCCTCCTCCAGAGCTGTGGCCTTGTTTTCACCCCTCTACTTTGAAAGGAAAGTTTGTGACTGAACCGTCCTTTCATAGTTGTGTCATTTTTTTAAAAGCATGATACTCGTTTTATTTCTTCATCAAACTCCACCCTCCGCTTAAATACTGCATACAAATTACAATTTACAACGGCATTTACCGATCCTTCTGATTTGGCTATAATGCATAGACTGCAGCTGGCATGAGCTTCCACTTCATTTAATCTCTGTGTTGTGTGGGTTCGGTTTCTTTTAACACAACTTTTGATGTTGTATTTAGATATGCTTCATGTT